GTGTGGCAAAATATCGTATTCTTGTTCTTTAATAGTATGAAATGTAAAATCTTTAAGAGTTCAGTATTTTGGCAGGGTTCTTCAAAATAACCGAAATCGAAGGCTATAATGTTTCTTTGAGGGCTTTGACAAATATATTCCATTACATTTTGAAAAAAATCATTTACATTGGTCCCACTGTGTTTTTCCTCAAAATAATTCTCTTTCACATTTTAAAACATATTCCCCTGAATTTAATTTTTAAAGTCTGTAAGCGTGCATCCATCTCCATGCGCATTCATTCAACTATGACCTTTGGCTACTGCAACAACAACATATGTCATCTACAACAACTGTCACATTTATTACAATTTAAAACAATTAAATGTGATCATGATTTGCGTTGTCTCTATTCTCCTCCAACTGTTACTTGCGAAGGTTTTGCTTTGCTGTTGTGTCGCATACATAAATTTTAATTTGTGTTTGTCGAGATGGAATCGACCTCCCACACTCCCAATCCCTCCTCCCCCTCACCAGTTCGCGAACAAAAATGTTGCTCATAACCGTTAAAATGCCAGAACAGTCACGTGACACTTTGCCATAAATTAAGCGAACAACCGAAAATGCCATCACTTATTGGCGCAGCCAGCAGTGGCCACAGCAATTAATCCACCGATGTACACATGGGATGAATGCTCCACATGTTGATGCCACATCTATCGCACACACACACAAAAGCATGCAGGCAGGCATGCATCCATCGAACCGTTCACGCTGCACAAAAGTCAATGCATGCTTTGTTGTACGATGTTGGCTAAATGGCACAAGAGCACCAAAGTGGCGGTATTGTGAACATCACCAGTCAGCCCGTCAGTGCGCCAGTCAGTCATTCGGGCATGCCTTCGACAACAATTTCAATTCGCCAAAGACAAAGTGCAATTTAAGCGTTAAACACAAAATACGAGTACATGCTAATGCATACATATATGCACATGTGTGTGTGTGTGTGTGTGTGTGTGTGTGTGTTTGTGTTTGAATGCACCCATTTGCCAGCGACACTGCCCCAGCATTTCGTTTACTTTGATTTGCCTCGAAAACGTTTCTACTGTTTCGCTATTTTGTTGTCGCTCCTCATTCGCTGCATTGACGTAGAAACATAAAGAACTTGTGAACATAACCATAACATTTGTCGGAGCGGCAATTGCATGTTCTGCCGTTTTGGCGTTTCCTTCCTCAATTCCCATCAGCAGTCCCATGATTCTATTTAATGAGTTTTTCTTTCCTCCTTCATGTTTTGCCGTCGATTGTTATTCTTATTCTCCGCTTATTCTCTACAACAAATACCGCAACTCGAAGATCTTCCCTGTCATGCGGTGCGACCTGCCCACCACCTACAAACACACACACACTCATATGTTTGTAACATCGCAATTGCTATTACCTGGGTGGTTTTTGTGCGACAATGCTTTTATGCTGCAAAAAGATTAGAGCTGTCTCAGCACAGTGCAGGCATTAAAGTTTATAAAAGTCGAACAAAAAGCAGCGTCATTGTGCTCACAGGCGACACAACGACTAACCAACCAACCGCAAGCCGATGTCATCATTTTCCGTTTGCCTATTTTTTTTGCTTTTGTTGTACGACGTTGGATGTATCTTGTCTGTGCTGGTAAATTCTCACAGCTTAGTCATTTACTAATGGCACTCATTCCGCATTGATGGGCTGCTGCTAAGGTAAGCGAATACGAGATGCAATGCGAAATGCATATAATTGCTATATTCTCGACTATGCTATGGAGGATACATTTGTAATTCCGTTTTTAACTTCTCAAAATATTCATGTCAGACCTATTGAAGAACATATATTCGGGATCAGCATAAAATTCCAAGTCGATTTAGCGAGTCTGTCTGTCTGTCTGTTGATATCACGCTATCTTTCGATCGAATTGAGATAGAATTCTAACATTTTGCACACATGTGTATTTTGGCAGTAGGCAGATTAAGTTCGTAAATGGGGCATGTCGGTCCACATTTTTGTATAGCCCCTATAAAACGGTACCTCTCAATATTTGGTGTTTCGATGATTTTAACGACATTATAGACTAGAATTTTCGTATTAAGATATCTTAATGAGTACTACAACCTATGACAAAAAATCACTTATGCAGGTCCACGTCTTCGTATGGCCCCTATATTACGGTACCTACTTTTTTTTCGATATTTTTATGGTATTAGAGGCATTATGGATCGGAATTGTTTCCAATTTCGTATTTAATATTCGTAATGGGTACTACAGCCTATGATAAAAAATTGCGAATGCAGGTCCACGTCTTCGTATAGCCCCCAAATAACTATACCTCCCGATATTCGGTATTTTGACGATTTTAGCGACATTATTTACCCGAAATTGTTCCAAATTTCATTTTTGCAATTCGTAATGAGTACTACAACCTATGACAGATTTTTTTTTAAATTTTCGAGTTCGTTCCAAATGGTAGCGTGTATTAAAGTTCGGCCCGGTCGAACTTATGTGCTTTTCTAGATGTTTTTTTTTTCAGAAATATGCATACTTTCTTTTGTGTAGGTATTCATTAGAATTGGGTCCACTTCTGGAGTCCATTGATCTTCTTTTGGATTTTCTAAAATAATATATATTGGTCATTGGTCTCAGACAAGGCCTATAAGATGTTCTTCAATACCGAAATTGTAAAGGTTTTCTTTAAGACAAACGAGAAAACCTGAAACATGAGGTACTTCCTTTAGAGGATCATGAGCTCTATAAAAAGACATGATAGTTTTTTATAAGAAGGCTTCTTATTCTTCTATAAAAAATACCTATTTGTCTGCTTTGAGGTACCTCATTGGTATCTTCCATAGGGTGCGTTCTATAACAATACCTTAAATCTCTCTATAAGAAGGTCAAATGCTCTTCTAAAAGAAGACCTCTGCTAGAAAGTCCCTTATTGTTTTACAATCAATATCTAAAAGTTCTCTATTGGACGACTTTCATGTATACTATAAGAAGACCCATGGTCTTTCATAAAAATGCCTCACCGGACCTTATGGTCTTTTATAAGAAGGTCCATTAATATTCCATAAAAAATCCTTTTTGTCTCTTTAAGAAGACCTCATGGCTTTAAGCCTTCTTCTTTTTGGAGATGGCTTATAGTCTTCTAAGAGCAGTCCTTATGGTTCTTTTGAATAAGACTCTACGGTCTTCTCAGAATGTTTTGATGTCTTTAAAGAAAAGGTCTCATGGTAATACAAGAGCAAACCTTATGTTGTTCTGAGAAAATACCCTTAAATCTTCCATGTAATTTGGAAGACCGCACGCCTCCTCAAGAACGACATATTGACCTTATTCTATACGGAAATCTTTATAGTCTTCTTAAGGGTGGCTTTATAGTCTTCTGAGAGAAAAACTTATGATATTTTATGGGTTGTTACTTTAGTAAATCCAAAAGATTTGTAAAATTTCTAAAAATAATTTTCAAAGAATTTATTTGTTTTGAACGAGTAATTCCTTCCTTGTTAACAAGTCCTTTCTTGATTACCAACAATGTATTACATCTCATAATTGCTATCCATTCTCTCGTATGTCTGTGCCGGTTTCATAGCCAGTACTTTATTTTTATGTTCACATCATTGTCTTTATTTACCATAATTTACATTGTGCGCCAACCAGTCTTCTTGTTTGCCCCGCTTCCAAGTGAGACACTAGTATTATAATCTGCCTCCGCACACAGCAATTGCGTGTTTATTAAACTCCTATTCCGCGCCTCTTCAAACGTCATCCACGGCGAATTAAGGCACTCAAAATATTACGTTGTAGCAAAACAAAACAACAACAACCACGACGTCGATTGTCTCAACGGCAACGGTAGCGGCGACGTCATACTCACACACAATACGTCACTTACCAATTTCGATTTCAGTCAGTTAGTGTGTTATTAAAACCAGCATTGTTTACGCTGCTCAACCCCCTGGCCCACTCGCTCACTCAGTGGTTTATGGCCATGTGATGAGGCAACGACAACAGTTAATAACCAGTAGCTGCCACATGATGCACCTCAAAAGGTGTACGATGTTATTAGTTTTGTTGTGTGCTGACGTTTTGATTTTATTTTCTGAACATGGCTAAACAGGAAGTTGCGTTAGTAGCCTCACTCCCCCTGACGGGGAGAGACTGGCATGATAATATTTATATTGGCAGTAGTTATGTGAAGATATGAATGCTGAAAATGAACTTACCCGCTAGCAATGTGGACTAGTTCGGCACCGTATACTCGTCGATTCTTAGGATTACAGTAACTAGTTCCACTTAAGACCCCTCACAGTGCAAACAACTGTAAACTTTAACATGGGGATGTCATACGAGGTAACCAATTGACTCCTTTTGCATTACCTGTAGATGGTATTGTACTAGTTCCAGGTTTACAGTCATATACCAGAGACAAAAGACTAACCCCTAACTATTCAAAGTGATTCTTGTTCGTAGAGATCTCATTCAAATGTTCGTTTAACTTGTCTGTTGGTTGGTTTTTTGGTGGTGGTTTTTTATTTATGCACAACTGTCGCCTCTTCGTTTACTTGGGGACGAAAAGGTGTCAATTGGTTCCATTCGCATTACTTGGGGACACATTTGGTACTAGTACGGCTTATAACTAGTACAAGACTGACGAAATTTAGTTAATTGGAATTTTCATTGCTAGCGGGTAGCTTTTGAAGATCTTAGAATTTTGAGACCAAGGAACCCAGGAGGATTAAATTATAAATTCGAAATCTAGGCAATACATCTATAAACTTTTAGTTCGCTTTCCTCCTAAAGTAGGATTGTTATTATAATTATTTTTATTATTATTATTTTTATATATTTTTCCTGGTAATATATTTAAAACCCTTTTCTGTTTTATTTTTTATTCTATTTTTATATTTATATAAAGATAATTTATTTAATTTAATTCTCTTAAAAAAAATTTTGTTCAATTGAAATAAACAACATTTTCCATTTCCTTTCTTTTCAGCTAAAAAACAAAACGGTGCTGCATTGCGTACAAATAGTTTAGGTTCTGGTACACGCACACCACCTTTGGAGCGTAAAAGCAAATTGAGTGCTTTGGGCCGTTTCTTCAAACCGTGGAAATGGCGGCGGAAAAAGAAAAGCGAAAAATTCGAAGCAGCCTCAAAGTGTAAGTAGAACATCAAAAATTCAATATTTTTTTATTGGATATTATCATTTTGTTCCTTATTAATATAAGAACAACTCAAATTCTGTAACAATTTTAAATTTAGCTAGGCTTGGAATTATGTGCATAAAAAGTATACATAAAAGTATATAACCAATCTTCCGTTTATGGTATCAAAAACATGCAAAACTGGTAGATTCTTGCAGGTTCTGGAACAGAGACATAATTTAAATTTTGAAGATTATTTCTTATAAATATTGAACGCGACTGCCCGAGAATCACCCTGTTTGTCTGGCTGGTGGCCACAATAAATCCAGAAAAAAGTATTCGATTTGGCCGAGACTTGATAAATCTAAATATTATTATCGAACACAGATCGAGTTCAAAAATGGACACTACTTCTTGTACTTCCCAAAAAAAATATAAAAATTTTTGCACTGAAATTTCCGCAACTTATGTATTAATAATTATAACTCTTACAAGTTGTAAAAAAGGGTCCGATTGTCTTCAAATACCACACATCCTTATATTTTCATTAAGGTAATATCTGGTGTAAAGATGGGATGTATCGGTCCAGAAATACCTTCCCCGCAAAGGGTTAATAGTTTGAAAAGCCGAACGCTCATATTAATATTTCTGTCAACACAAGATCTATTGTGAAGATAGTAGATATCGACCCATTCCTTCTGCTACCTCCTCCCTCCCAAAGAGTCACAATTTCTAATTATTATATTTCTCATAAGTTGCGAAACAAGCCCGAAATTCTTGGAGTATCTAAATATTTCTCTCATCAGCGATTTGATATCAATATAGAATATATCGGCCACTCCTTCCGGTTCCTCGCCCACACAAGGTTACATTTTTGATTAACAATTATTTACATAAAATTGATCGATTTTTTTTCAAATTTTAGTTAAGGAATTAGTCGATATAGTCCATGGTACGTTGTAATATTTATATCTGACTTAGGTCGGATACGGAATGGAAAATATTGGTTCACTCCTTCGGTACCTTCCCAATAAATTATCAACATTTTAATAATAAGAACACAAGTCCGGATATTGGCTTTAATAGAGAAGCTTAATTTCACCATCAAAATCAGGCATAATATTCTTTAAGGGAATATCAATCCCCCAAATTTTTCAAAAAAGAAAAAATCCAGATTCGCTTGAAAAAGTTGCTTTTCACTTTCTCTGAAATATCAGGTTTTAGTAAGAAAAAATTACAACCAGATCTGCAAAAAAAATATATATAAAATTTATTCCTTTTTATACCCTCCACCATACTATGGAGGGTAAATTGAGTTTGGCATTCCGTTTCTAACACCTTGAAATATATATTTTAGACAGAGTATATATATTCTTGATCAGCATAAAATTCTATGCCTATTTAACTGTCCGTTTGTGGAAATTCCGAATGAAATAAAGTAGGCTGATAATTTTTTCTCGGATGTGTTTTAGGTTTGCAGGTCCTATATAACTTTATAACTTTACACATTACATTTGCATGTAGCATGTTTCTTCCAATTGGTGAGGGTTTAAAATTTTGACCTGGCCGAATTTAGCTACTTTTTAAATTGTTGTTATTTACAATTTTTAAATTTTAATTTAAATATTAACTATTTTGTTTGTTTTTGTTTCCAGCCCTTGAACGCAAAATATCAGTACGTGCCAATCGTGAAGAACTTGTTCAAAAAGGTATTTTATTACCGGAAAGTCCACTGGGGAACATTCAAGAACCAGGTAAGCATTAGCTTTAGATTAAATATGAAAAGTATTCTACCAAAACATCATGTTTATATTAAAATCAATTTGCAAAGTTAGTATCCATTCTTTGAGGTTTATGCAAAAAAAAAAAAAAAAATAAATCCACTGGATTCGATTAATCTACTACTTAAGGTTCTACTAGTAGATTTTCATGGAAGTTTTTTTAGTTTTTTTTTTTAAGTAACCCAAAAATATTTGATTTTCATTTCTTCCCTCCAAACCAATGTTCTACAAGTTCTGTTGAATTTCCTTTTGGCCCAAGAATCCTTTGGACACTGCGTACTAATCCAAGACTGCAACAAATTGCTGCAACGTTCTTTTTCGACTCTATTATTTCTGTCAATTAGCATTTGTGTTTAGGTATTCTGAAAGTGTTTCTCTGGACATCATGTCCATCGATTTATGTTTAGATTTAAGAAGAAAGAAAAACAAAACCAGATAGTCTAGAAATATGCTCAAGACTAGCATTTAGCCGTTGAGCAGCTAAGCGAACAGTTGTTGACAAGATAAGCTTTAAGAATTATTAAAATAAGCCAATTATGTTTAGCACGATCGATGGGAAGAGACGCTGGCTGACTGGCACACCATCAATGCTGCAGTGCAAGAAAAAGCCAAGCCAACAAGTGCCACGAGCAGTATTTTTCGTTTTGCAATGCATTCCTGGCTATAAATGATCAAATGTTGGCTGTCATCAATAATTATGCGCTTTACCTGTCCGGAATATTTAATCCTGGTTAAAAGTGTACAATATGTATTGTTGAAGATTAGCAAGGGGAAGAGAGAGGGAGAGCGAGAAAATGGCATTACTCTATGTGAGATAACTATACAATTTATGGTAGTTATCCTTTTGGGATGTTATTGGTTTTCTATTTATAGAGTTGGGTCAATGACCATAGACTTGTTTAGTTTTGATTTAAAGCTATCCTACAGAATGTGAAAATATAAAAGTTTGCTTGCCGTAAAATTTGACACAGATATCGGAAAAAATACTGGGATTCGGTTCATGAAAACGTAGGGAAGTATCCGCCAAAGAAGTTGTACCTGCTGAGAACTCCAAATACCAATCTTCAAACAGTTCTGTTCAAAAATATCAAAAAAAAAAAACTCTGACACAATTCCATCAAAAATTTTGTCTAAAATCGTCTAAATACCGAATATCGGTAGATATTGATATATGGGATCAATACCACAATTTGGACATATATGGATAGTTGTTTGTCCGCTTTCTGTCCGCTGGGAATAAATTCTGCTTATGTACGGCCAATTCGGTTGAAAAAAATGACAAACACCCCAATAATGACCTACTTCGGATTGTATCTCAGAATTTGGCGATAATTTTTTGAAAATCGGTCAAGATATATCTGTGGGTACCATATACAGGGTGAGATAGAAAACTGCAAAGTCAAACGCCATCATTTTTACATTTTTTTTTAAATTTTATTGAATGAAATCAAAAAATGTCAGAAAAAAGTTTAGATTTTTTCGAATTGATCACCTTTGCACGAATTATGGCCTTCAAACGGTCAATGAAACCGTCACACACTGTCCGAATGTTGCTCTGGGGTATTTTGACCCATTTCTGGTGAAGCGCTTGCTTGAGGTGATCGATACTTTGGTATATTTTTGTGCCAACCTTGCTTTCCAAAATACTCCAGGCACAATAGTCCAACGGATTGGTATCCGGAGATTTTGGTGGCCATTTTGTGCTGGAGATGAAGCGAGGAACCTCATTTTGTAACCAATATAATGAGCTGTCGGACGAGAGTGGCTTAGATATGACAGCAGTCTGCAGTTGGTTGCAGCTTTTTCATCTCACTCTTTATTTTTTCAGCTGATTCTTTACTTTAGTCCCCAAAGCCGAAATAACAACGATTTTCGGGAAAATATATCAAAATACAGCTCATCTGCTAATATCGGTTCAGATTTGTATGTAGCTATATATATATGTTTATATATTTTCGATTTTAAGTTTATTGTACACCAAAATTTTAATATAAGGCAGAACTGTGTCAAATTTGGTGGAAATCGAATCAAATATATCTATAGCTCCGAAATATATGTTTTCTCAAAGTCAAGAGATAAAAATACATCTGTCAAATTTAGTGGAAATCGCTTCAGAATTACTTTTTGGTTTACTATTTTTTTTATTAAAAAGTGCTATAATAACGAGTTTTCCATCTATTTCAAACTTATAAATTGAGAACTTAACGCCCTCTAGTAACATATAGCAAGAAATCGTATTTTATTTCTACATTTTAATTGTAGTTTTACTAGCCAACACCAGGGTGCGCTCGAAAAGCTCATTTAAAGCTTTATTAATTCTGTATTTGAATGTTACTTTACATAAAATTGTCTCTGTTAGCCAATAATATCAACTGTTAAATTGCAAATTTTAAATGTATTTTTCTTTTTTTTTTAGTTTGTTTAATTAATTTTTTGTATTTTTTGGTTTATAATAATTTATTTTAGGTGAGGATTCATATTTCAATGATTCAACTGCCGTTAGTAATTCAACAGCGAATGCGAACGGCTCGATTCTATCATCGACCGTCCCAAAAAATTCCATTCTAGCCAATGCCTCAACCGGCAATGGCGGCAGTAGTAGTATTAACGCTGCTCAACAGCAGCAGCAGCAGCATCAGCAACAATCGTCACACCAACAGCAAACCGCGTTGTCACAGCAAATGACCAATTCGTTGTCCTCGCTACAACAATATCAGGCCAATGCAATGCAAAATGGAAGCAGTGGTGGTAGTAATACCAACTCCACAGCTAATGCCACCGGTGGCGGGGTAACTCCCACAATGGGGGGTGGCCAGGCGACCCACATCACAAACAATACAAATTCCGGCGGTAACGCAACAGACGCATCATCATCATCCTCGTCCAGTGGGGGCAATAGTGGGGCGCACTCCTCACCCTTGTTGGGTGTGGCCCAGCCCCCACCACCCTTGACACCATTGGCCCAGCATCATCAAGCGTTGGCGCAACAGTTGCAACAACGATTTGCCATCAGCAATAATAACGGTGAGTTTTGTTTTGAGATTTTTTGTTTGTTTTCTGTTATTGTGTTGGTTTGGTTGTAATGGTATTTTGTGTTGTTGTTGTTTTATTATTTATGTTTTCTGTTGTTGGACACTTTTCTTTTATTTATTATAGTTCTTAGTTTTTATGTTTGTTTACAAATTGGGTTGTAATTTGTTGTTATTTTCGAAGGTAAGTACGAATGGCAATATTGACAAATGACTGGTGATGGTAGCGCCGACGACGATGATGATGATGACGACGTTGTTGTTGGCGGTCAATGATGGTGATGGTTATGGCATTTTTCTATTAATATTGATGAGGTTAGCATTTTTTGCCAACTTAATATTTGACTTCTTTAACGACATCATTGTAAATATCATTTCATATCCCACCTATCAATCACAGCATCACAAGGTATTATAAAGTCTTCTCTCTCTCTCTCTCTCTCTTTGATGGCGTATTTCTTGTTATTTCCCTCCTTTCTCTCTCAACTCCCTGTGATAAATGTATCTAATTTATTGCCTCGTTTTGTCGTCTCACCAATTGTTGTTGGCTTGCAGGCAGGCTGTTACTATCACAGCTGCGCCTCGTTTAGTTTATGTCGGTCATTAAAGACATCCTGAAAATTGTTCCTTCCGTAAGCATTTTGTTGTGGTGACCGTTTTATTGTTATTTGGAAATTGTAACGATAGTTTTTGTTATTTCCCGAAGAATTGTTCACAAATTAATTGCAATTATTTATTTGCACTATATAACAGTTTTTTTATTTTCCGTTTACAAACTCTACTTATTATTCTGAGTAAATTCTAATTCAACTATAAATTATTTAAATCGCTATATATCAAATAAAAAAATTGAAAATTATAAAAAATAGGAAAATATAAATTTTATATAGAAATTAATTTTGGCGGATTTCAAATGCGAAATTTTAAACAATTTTGAAATGTCTCTAAAATCATCAAAATACCAAAATATTGAAAGCTACCGTTATATGGGGCCAATACGAAGACGTGGAACAGCATATTTCACATTTTGCCATAGAATGTAGTACCCATTAAGATCTTCAAATACGAAATGTAAAACAATTCCGGTAAATAATGTCGCTAAAATAATAAAAATACCGAATATCGGGAGGTGTAGTTATATGGGGGCTATACGAAGACGTGAGCCGACATTTCCCATTTACGAACTTTAACTGAAAACTGATAAAATATGTGTGCAAAATTTTAGCCTTCTATCTCAATTCGTTGGAAAGATAACGTGAATACAACGCTGATCCAGAATGAGATAATTTTTTTTTTTTTAAATTTTATTGAATGAAAGCAAAAAATGTCGGAAATAGCATCAAATTTTAGAATGAGTTTAAATTTTTTTCGTATTGGTCTCCTTTGGCAGGAATTATGGCCTTTAAACGGCCAATGAAACCGTCACACGCTGCCCGAATGTTGATCTGCGGTATTTTAGTCCATTTCCGGCGAAGCGCCGAGACCTTGGTATTTTTTAGTGCCAACCTTGCATTCCAAAATACCCCAGACACAATAGTCCAACGGATTAGTATCCAGAGATTTTGGTGGACATTGTGCGCTGGAAATAAAGCGAGGAACCTCATTTTGCAACCATTCTTGGGTGGCGGCCCACACCATCACCATGGCCTGCGCTGGAGTTCTGGTGGCCAACCGAAGGAGCACATTTTCAGCTGACTTCTTTGGCAAGTAAACACGATCATTTTGTTTGTTTACAAACTGCTGGACAACGAATGTTTTCTCATCGGAGAAAACCAAATTCGGCAGTTCACCACTTTCGGGCTTTACGCCGAGCTCATTTATCAATATTTGCCGAATGGAATATTGCGATATTTTCAGCTCACGTGCCATTTTTCGGCTACTCCGACGCGGGTTTCTTTACTTTTCGAACCATTTCTGCTGATGTTGCTGTTTTCTTAGCGGTAACGAGCGATGGTAAGAGACACAAAAGATTTATTCACATTTAAATGCTGGAGTACTCTAACGATAGCCACTTGTGGTTTTCCACCCAAATATAAAAAAAAAACAGACTATCACGCTTGAATTCCATCACGAATAACTTGTTTTCTGGAACATTTTCACAAAAATGCTTTTTTACGCTTCTAAATAATATAATGAGCTGTAATTGGAATAATTTTAACAGCTGTCGGACGAATGGCTTAGATATGACAGCAGTCTGAATATGTTTGCAGTTTTTCATCTCACCCTGTATATACCTTGTAGGGTCTAATGTGAGTATTTCGAAAAGATTCAAACGGAATGAAAAAGTGAATATACCCTTCATAGAATGGTGAAGGGTATAAAACGAGTATTAAGAATAAATATATTACCAGAATGTGGAATAATTAGCTTCCTTTGTAAACTCCAAATATCAAGTTTCGGCTCATTTGGTTGGAAATGGTGGCATAAACAATCAAAACACTGAAAACCAATATTTATGGAAAGAGTGGGAAGAAAATGTTGGGTTTTCTGCTAGTTGGGCGCCACAAAACGGCTTGAAAATTACTATCTGTGTTCGTTGGTGTTACCATTATTTTTTGCGAGAAATTTTGGCGGATGAGAACTCGTATTTTCAAATTGCACTTTATACAATTACCATTTTCAGTGTCATTTAACCATGAACTCAATTCACCCTTCATCATAGATCACGAAAACTCATTGGTGAAACTTTACTTATTTAATCTAATCTATTATCCATAATTCTTTAAAATGTATACAAAAATATTTAATAACTTAAATGCATATCAATTTCATCCGCCTCGACAACATTCCGCCTGCAAAAAAACAAAAGAAAGAATACCAGTTTTCTCCGTCTAATTTATTTCATTCCTACATCACTTGGCTCTAATACACTTTTTATGGTAACATGTTCTGTTCCACTAGTGGGCACACGTCACTCTCATCATCCCACCACTAGCTGTTGCAGTGCTTCAACAAAATAGGATTTGCATTTGCATTGCCATTTCAGGTGGAATTGTTTAAACAAATTTCTTTCAATTCTCGGCGACGGGGCACTCATTTGTCTGCCCTCTGTTGATGGCTGGTCACAGCTGTTCGTTTGCCTGTTTTCTCGAAAATGTGGCTTTTATAAATTATTTCAGTCGTTGCTCACGCCCATTTCATTATCTTTCAAGATGAAAAGCAGCAGCAGCAGCAACAACAACACCAACTACAGTAAAACAAATATGAATATTTTATTTAAAAATAATTGTTTATTATGCACATGTTTACATATTGTTGTTATTGTTGATGTTATTTAACGTTGCTACGTTTTATCTAAGCATTTATTATTTGTTTTGTTTACGCTCGCTCTTCTCGTCTCGGTGGCTTTTGCTGCTGTTGTTGTTGTTTAATAAAATTACCAAATAAAAACAACAAAAATAATTTAGAAATAGTGAGTAAAAGAGTAGAAGCCGTAAAATTATTGCTCTTTGGAATAGAACGATTTGTGGGGAGAGCAGACTACTAGAATGCCTTCATAACAAATGTGGCCATATTTATTAGAGGTATTTTTGAAGTTGCCAGTTGTATGGGGAATAAATGGGAGGAGGAATTAACTACCCAACGATGAGAATGTTAAAAATTAATATAAAAGAAACAGATCTGCCAAGATATATTCCGTCTATAGAAGACACATTGAAAGACACATGAAAAAACTGAATTTAACTTCAGACTTCTGTCATTTCTAAACTACTTGTCCGACAGCTGTTAAAATTATTCCAGTGACAGCTCATTATATTGTTTACAAGAGAACAAAATCATTTTGGTGAGAATATTCCAGAAAAAAGTTATTCATGATGGAATTCAAGCGTGATAGTGTGATTTCTTTTTATTTGGCTGGAAAACCACAAGTGGATATTATTAGAGCACTCCACTATTTAAATGTGAATAAATCTTTTGTGTCTCGTACTATCGCTCGTTTGCCGTGATACTGGTAGCGTAGCTCGATGTCAAGGAAGTGGACGGAAGAAAACAGCAACATCAGCAGAAATGGTTCGAAAAGTAAATAAGCGACTTGATCGAAACCCGCGTCGCAGTGGCCGAAAAATGGCTCGTAAGCTGAACATATCGCAATATTCCATTCGGCAAATATTGAAAAATGAGCTCGGGGTAAAGCCAATGAAATTCCAAAAAGTGCAAGAACTTACACCGCAACAGAAAGAAAATAGACTCAAAAGAGCTAAAGAGTTGCTTCGCTTGACCGGAAGTAGTGAACTGCCGAATTTGGTTTTCTCCGATGAGAAAACATTCGTTGTCCGTCAGTTTGTAATCAAACAAAATGATCGTGTTCACTTTCCAAAGAGGTCAGCTGAAAATGTGCACATTCGGTTTGCCACCAGAACTCATGGTGATGGCGTGAGCGCCAATAACAGCCGATGGTGGCACTCCGCTCGTATTAATCGACCGTAGCATCAGAATAAATGCCGGATATTATCGCGAAAATATTCTGAAGGTCGTAATAAAGATTTGGGCACGCAAACGTTTTGGCCGCAGACCTTGGACATTTCAACAGGACACACCACATCGCACTCAGCACGCGCCACCCATGAATGGTTACAAAATGAGATTCCTCGCTTCATTTCCAGCGCACAATGGCCACCAAAATCTCCGGATAACAATCCGTTGGACTATTGTATGTGGAGTATTTTGGAAAGCAAAGTTAGCACTAAAAATGGCAATGTGTGGATCACCTCAAGCAAGCGCTTCGGGGGCATGGGCCAAAATACCGCAGATCAACATTCGGGCTGCGTGTGACGGTTTTGTTGGCCTTTGAAGGCCATACTTCGTGCAAAAGGTGACCAATTCGAACAAATCTAAGCTTATTCTAAAATTTGGTGCTATTTCCGACACTTGTTGCTTTTATTCAATAACATTTTTTAAAAAAGAAAAAAAATGTAGAAATTTTGGCCTGTAATTTTGGCAAATTGTGGGCCGATATTAAAATTATTTTTAGGGTAACTTTTAAAATCTGGTTTG